AGCAGCGGCAGAAGTATCTGTAAAACATTTGATGCCAACTTGACGCAGGAATCAGTGAAGTGCATTGTATTTCGTCACGTTTGTCCTGTAATTGCAGGTCGAACTGCATGTATCACCTAGCCATATGCTAGAGATATCTTTGTTCTACTTTAACACTTTAGTTTAGTAAAACAAAAAACTCTTCTTTTTCTTTTATCCTTGCTATGCAGCAGTGCTGCCAGCTAGTTCGTACTTGGTACATGTAATTCCATAATGAAAATATTGTAACTATTATTGAAAATTCCTGGCAATGCCATTATATTAATATTAATTAATCGATTAATCGATTGTTTGCAGATTTCTTGCTGTGGTTTCATAAAATACTGTTCATAGTAACTAAATGTTTGGCTATTTGTTAATGCCAGGTGGCATTAGTAGCGTGGATTTCGATAACTAAAACGGTCATTTCTATAAAATTTCTCAATCGATTGTTAGAATTGTTCGAATGAGGAATTCTATTTTTAGTTCCCACATTCAACAAATAGTTATGTTGATGATCCATGATGCATATGCTTAACGGAATTCTTTAGGACATTATTATGTCTTCGTAATGCTTACTTCTCCAGTTATCTTGGTCGCCCGTAAGAATGTGGGAAACTAAACATTTAAAAAAATTTTAAAATTCATTTGCCAAATTTTTTGTCCAAACTTCCATAAACTGTACTTTACAATGTCTCATACATAGCCATTCCTCTTTAATACGCAATAACCTGTCATCACCGATAGTTAACAGCTGTGTTACGTTGGTTCCGCTTTAGTAGAATTAGCTAACTGGTACAAATTTTGACTAATTTGTATCAGGTGAGTGTGGAGATTTGATAGGAATATATATCTATCCGGGCGTTTCCTGCTAACCCTAATCATTTATGTTTAATTGCTAGTTGAGCCGTTACAACAAGAATACTAATGTTAGCGAAGTGAATTTTGAAAAACAGCATTCCAGCTTTAACAAATTGGTCTGATTTATAATTGAATATGATGTCTCTGTATTTAGACACCCATATCAGTTGTACACTGACAAGTTTAAAAACTTATTAGACTAATCCAGCATTCTCGAACTACAAGAGAAGGAGCTTTAACACGTGTCACATATTAATTTGGAGCTTGACTATCCAAAAGAACTGCGACTTTCACGTCAGTCCCGTATGGCTCTGTACGCACTGATTACCATTATCTCTGCCTGAATGACACTTCAATGATTAGCCAATGAAAGTGAGATACTAAGACTGAATTTATCAAAAAAAATTTCAAAGCCATCAAATTTCAAAACTGTTAACAGGCACTTCAATATATCAAGAACGATAATTTTTGCTTGATATGAAAGAAACGGGTTTTGGTTATGAAAGCACAAATTTAATATAACCGGGAGTTTTCTTTTTCTCGATTAAAGTTTTTACAACCAAAAAAAACTTACTTTTACAACCAAATTACTTAATCTTCCCTAGTTAGACACTTAATAAAAACTCAACAGGTTTATTTTATAAAATATGTTATATATCTAGTACAATTTTTGATGTTTTTGTGTGATTTTATTTTCATATACATATATGTAGACTAATATGAATATTTCGAAGTATTTAAATACTTAAATATATGAAAATATCTTATTATTATTGCTTTTTGGCTTTAATAGATAAATTATTAATAATAAACAAAGACAACCTTCTCAACTACTAGATTACTACCGTAGATAGCCTGTATAAGTTGAAAAAGTAAAGTCCTTGGCAAATGTTGAGTGCAAACAATTTCGGAATTAATAATGGAATTTTATGATCGCCATTAAACAAAAACATCCAAACTTAAACAATAAAATATTGAAAATATGCATTCTAAGTCTTATTTGATTGTTTTTATTTATTACTTTTTTATTAAATTGTTTACTATGTTTACTATTCAAATGGGGACAAACATTTTATTTCCCTGTGGAGAATTAAACTTTTATCAGTTACTCCTAATCAATAATGGCTTGCACGAGGATATCTCACATTCCATTACGATGTTTTTATGTAATTTATTTCTTGTCATATTATTTCTCTCATTCCGTTTATTCTTATTTCTTTATCGTTATTTTCAAAGTATTTTTAGGAATATTACTTGGTAATTATCCTTTTGTTAAGGCGTTACTACTCAGCTGCTTACACGATGCCTTGATGCCGTGATGCTGTGATGCCTTGATGCTGTGATGCCTTGATACTTATCAAATTGTCATTGAACTTTGTTGCTTTAATGTGTTTCATTTTACTTCTTGTTTTTGCCATTATTTTTCTACTATTGTTGTTGTGATTGTATTTTATAAGCCCTAATTGGCCATCATTTAATGAGGCAGAAAGCAACTTTGAGAAAAGTGTGTTTTCCCAAATTGATTGGATCAATTTCGCAGAAAGCCACTTGTGCGTATGTGATTTTAAAGTGATTTAAAAAAAAATCTGGGCACTTCATGCACTTCAAAAGAAAGAAAGTCATTTATATTAATGTATTTAATTAATTAAAAAAACGTTGTCCCTTGAAAAGTACTAATTACAATAATGGGTATACTAGAAAGGGTTTTAGTACATTAAATGATTATACACATTTATGCTGTACATCAAATTATCACGCCTAGTTGATAAGGCTCTTGCTGAGGTGTATTTAATATATTATATCAATCATACATATTTAATTATAGTAATTGAATCATTTCATTTTTCTCAAGACTTGGATTCTTTTTAATTTTATTACTTTTTTAACTTTATTGAATACAAAATTTTAAGTTAATAAAACTAATAGACTTCGAAGCGAAAAATATGAAATATTGCCTAAGTCTAAGTGTAAAACACACCTTTAGAATTAGAGTCTAAAATCATTTAATTGACTATAAAGCCCTTCTTTCTTTTAAAAAGAGCTAATTTTTATAAACAAATTTACAGTTTATAGCCTAACTTTCAGCCGTTCAATCATGACAGAAAATTTGCAGACTTTTCTCTACAAATCATACAGAGATTGGAACCACTTATTTTTTATTTGGTGCATGAACTGATATAACTGGAACATCTTTAGCAATACTAACTTCAGCTGAATAAGGTCATCCCGAATCCCTAATTGGAGATGATCATTGCTACCTTTCGTACAGAGTGTAGGTATATTATGCCAAATATATAACACATCAACTTTCAAATACTATGGACAAATTGAAAGCAGCATGAGGTAAATAGAAAGAGCAAACAGAACTATCAAAGCCAATAAAAATAAATACATATTTAACGAAAAATCATAAAATATTTTTAATTTGGAATGGTCAAAAGAAAGTTCTATATATGTGAATATTGAATGTGTGTACATATGAAAAGTGAATAATAAAATCGCAAAAAATACATTAAATAAATTTGCAAGACAATATGATAAGGTACAGTCATATGCACACATACCTCATATTCATACTATGCAAAATATTTCATTGAAAGGACATTAAATCAAAAAGGACAGAGTGTCGACAAAAAACCCTCATATATTTTGATTCATAAATGTCATTATTTTTACGTCATTTCTTCAAAAAGTTTTCATTGATGCTTTCAGTTCCGTATTTATTTAACATTTACGTTAAGTTATTGTATCTGAGATGGCATTGCATACTCTTATATGACATTTGCATTAAGTGAGTTTTTGATTTATTGATTTCAATTGATTTCGGGAAAAAAACTCAAGCAGAATTTGTTAACATTTAAAATAAAATATTTTATCTTCATAAATACATATATCTGCAGTGTAGTAATAAATTGAATATCCTTGTATCTGAATGCATGAAATAGCCATCTCCTAGTCGAAAAATACGATTCGGTAGTTGAATAAAACATTTTGCTTACTATTAATAATGTATGTAGTTAAATGCATGCCCCACTGCTTTAGCAATGTGTCAATATATATTGATGTATGGCACTACTTATGGCAGTATTTATTGAACTGTTTGAAATTCGTTTTTCTTTTCGCTGATTTTGACACGTTTCTGACATTCAATTTTTTTATAATAAAATTGTCAATTTGGCATTTCTTTCGCTTTTTCTGACTTTTTGGCTTATGATATTGTTTGTATAGCTCAGCATTTGTTTACTTTTTCATTTCACACGCTTCAAAATCATCAGATACGAATTTGTTTTTCGCTTTTGATGAGGAAATGCACGTAAAAGATTCACAGTTAAAACGATTTTGTGCCAATCGTATTTAAACTTTGTATATCTTTAAGAAACAAAATGAAAAGTGACAACTTGTAGATTTAATACATGTATAATTGCATAAAGAACATACGAGGAGTTCGCTGCCATTGTAGCTTTTTCTACTTCTACATATGTATATAATATATTATATACATAAAGAGGGATTTTAAACTAACTCATAACAAAAATTTTATTTTTAAATAAAAAAATAATTTAAAAAATTTGTATTTATGCATTTGGTTAATAAAATAAAAACTGTTTTTCACATAAAAGAAAGATAAAACAAAAACGTCATTTGATCATATAAATATGAATAATTCGGAAGTTTTCTTTATTAAAATCTAGAAAAATACAAAAAGATTCACTTTCAAAAGTATTAAAAACGGTTTAATTAAAACCAAAATAAAACCCTACTCAGACATTGGTGCTCTTTGAGCATCAATTTTGTGTTTCCACATTTGAATTTCATTTACTTCGAAAGAAATTTGAAGTTAAAAAAAAAAACAATGAATAGAATACATAATAAAATTTACATTTAAACATATCAATCATATCAGATCCCTTTCACACGTGGTGGTTATTGTCGACAAAATTTTTCTGGTTAACTGGCGCAGCCTATAATCAAACAACAGATGAAGAAACGGTTGTGAAC